GCTAAGCCCATCTCGGATGTCTAGGAACTGATTGATCAAGTGTTCTATGAAATCTACAAGCTCGATCTCATGCGACTCTTGGTCGGCTATCCATATACAAAAAAGCTCTTATCCGGAGATGGCTCATAAATAATCCTTTGAGTAAAGGGAATATGTGAGAATACAGCTAAAGTACCTCATAGCCAGATGAACAACTGATGCAGATTTAGAAGTTTGAGACTCATATTTTCCATCGTTGGAAATACACCGCCACCATCAAAGTTCATCATACCCATGGTCACTTGTCATTTTACCATTAGCCGGATAGGCAGGATGGTCTTCATCAACGGCCCATGGAGACCGGAAGAAAGAACAAAATTGTGACTCCAACAACCGATGATCGTTGTTGAATAGTTGAAAGGTTAAAGTTCTTCAGGAGTGACCACTTGTCTCTCGGACCACTTCTAGGGATGATAGAAACTCAAAGGTCACCCTAGCATAGGTAGGGAAACTCAAATCCAAAAAATCTAAACGACCGAGGTTCTTGGCTAGGTGGCGGACGTCTTCATCAATTCCAAGTAACTTGGTTGTTGTTTAATCATAAAATCTAGTCGACTTAAGCTTCCTCTTGGAGAGTTGCTTAAACCGATCCCAATGCAATTACTTGGAGAATTCAATGTCGTACGTTTCTACCACCTCAGGAGGAGGTGGAACAATGTGTCGGGCTTTGCTTGAACTTGATCTAGCACACTTCTTTTGACAGATAAGGGCCATCTACAAGAAGCAAAGAAATTCATGAGAAATTCATTTATAATTATCATTGTCCAAAAATATTCATAAGAAATCGCTCAAGAATCAAAAACAAATATAATACAATAAAAAATTAAACAAGAAATGGTCACACATGAACTATCCCATGAATATAGAAACATAAGTTTGATGCACCTAGCCATGAATTAAAGGAAAAATTGGACACATGAGACCAAATCATGAATCATTATGAGCAAATTAATCCCAAAACGTTGAAGTATCAAAGAAATGAAGCCATCATATAAAATACCCATGAGAGAGAAAATGAACAACAATGGTGATTCCAGTATTCAAGCAAAGTATACAAATTCATCATGAAAAAGCTTCAATTTAACATCCAATAACATCATTCAACACAAAATACAAGCTAAAAGAACCAACAATGGAATTCTACCATGAGAGCAAAAACAAGGGTTTCAAGTTTCAAAAAGGAGGAACAAGATGACTAGAAAGTGAGAAATTATACCTCAATGAAGCTTTAAATCACTTGCAAATTGCACAATTTGAAGAATATAGGCCATTTAGAACACATGAAGTCAATTTCCAATCACCAAATAAAAACCTTCAAAATTCGAATTTTTGCCTAAATATTCGAATTTAAATTCGAAATTCCTTATTATTTTTGTTGTTGTTGAAAAGATTTTATTATGTTTTTATGTAATTTGTATAGAAATGAGATTAAAAATGTTTAATTTATTGAATTTTCAAAGATTTGGAAGGAATTAAAGAGAGAAGAGTGAATGGGGGATTAAGGGGGAAGTCGGGGAGAAAGAAAGTTGGAATGAAAGGGGGTTTGTGAGAAGATGAGCACGAAAAATGAAGGGAAGTTGCTACCACGGCTGGTGCGTGCTCGCAGCCTATAGTGCGTGCACACCAGCCATGGTGAAGGGGGGGGCTGATTTTTGCATTGAAACGCACAAAGACAAGGCCAATTTTCTAACTCCCTTGTTGCGTGCGCACTAGGAAAGTAATGGGGGGCTCAAATTCCTTTGATTTTTCATCAAAACGAGCTAAATTTTCTGACCCCCTCGGTGCGCGCGCGCAACATATGATGCGTGCACACCAATCAAAGACTGGGGGGAAATTTCCGCTCTTGAACATACTCTCGTGCTTGCGCTCTCATCGGTGCTGACGAGCGTCATGATCGAGTGCTTAAAAATCACACAAAAATATTTCAAAAATCACTCGATCATGAATAAAAATTCATGATAATGCAAACACGAAAGCGCATATATTCAACAAAATCCTTCACCTATGTTTAACCAAACCTCATGAAACCTTGCATAAACACCGAAATTGTTGGAAATCATCATTGATTCAATCTTGTTGTACCTAGAATCAAGAAAAATAAGAAAAGTTCTCAAAAATAAAAGAAATGGAGAGAATTAAAAAATCAAAACAAAGGGTTAGAAAACCGGGTTGCCACCCGGGAAACGCTTATTTAACAGCATATCTCGACGTTCTCCACCTATTAAGGTGGTTGTCAAAGAAGCAATATATGAATAAAGCCAACAAAAGCACCATCGAAATACTCCTTGAGTCGATGGCCATTGACCTTAAACAAAGATGAAGAATCCATCATTGAAACCTCTACAACACCACTAGGAAAGACATTTTTAACCAAGTAAGGACCGCTCTATCTTGACAAGAGCTTTTCGGGAAACAACATCATTTTTGAATTGTAGAGAAGAACTTTATCACCAACACAAAAATCTTTCTTCTCGATAAGATTATCATGAGTTTCCTTGGAACGAGCTTTGTAAGTAATAGCACAATCATAAGAATCAAGTCGAAGCTCCTCTAGCCCATGAAGATCTAACAACCTTTTCTACCCCGCACTTGCCAAATCAAAGTTTATATTCTTGATAACCCACGAAGCACGGTTTTCGATTTCTACCGGGAGATGGCATGATTTGTCATAGACTAGGAGGTATGGAGTGATACCTATAAGTTTCATGAAAGCCGTTCTATAGGCCCAAAGAGCATCATCCAACTTGTTCGACCAATCCTTCCTATTCCTTGGAAATGTGTTTTCAAAAATGAACTTTATTTGACGAAACCACAACTTGGCCGCTTGTTTGAGGATGATATGGAAGGCCAAATCTTTGATGAAATCCATGATTTTGCAACATATTTTGAAAGGCATTGTGAATAAAATGAGAACCATTATCGCTTATCACCACCTTAGGTACACCAAACCATGGAAAAATGACCTTTTTTAACAATTTCATTACCACCTTGTGGTCATTGTTGGGGAAGCAATGGCCTCAACCCATTTAGACATATAATCCACCGCCGTAAGAATATATTGATTTCCAAAAGACGAGGGAAACGGTCCCATGAAATCAATTCCCCACACAGCAAATACTTCCAACTCAAGAATAGGTTGTTGAGGCATCTCATTTCGCTTGGAGATATTCCCAACTCGTTGACAACGGTCACATGAGTTAACAAAACCCCACAAATCATTGAAGAGATGTGGCCACCATATACCACATTGAAGAATCTTAGTGGCGGTTTTAGAAACACCGATATGGACACCACTAGGATCCGAGTGGCACATCTTCAAAACACTAGGAAACTCTTCATTTGGAACACAACGCCTAAGTAAGCCATCGACTCCTTGTTTGTATAAGATGGGATCATCCCACACATAGTGTATTGCCTCTCTCTTGAGCGTCTTTTGTTGATTCTTAAGAAGGTGGAAACTCCGCACATGCAAGAAAGTTCACTAAATCTGCAAACCATGGGAGCTCTTTTGCCTCAATAGCATATAAGTACTCATCAAGCATTCTATCCTCAATTGGAGAACCATCATCATGACTTTGAGAATCCTAAAGGCGAGAAAGATGGTCCGCCACAACATTTTTTGCTCCTCTCTTATCCGTAATCTCAATATCAAAAGTTAGAAGTTCAAGTACCCACCAGATCAACCTAGGCTTGGACTCCTTCTTGGCAAAAAGGTACTTGAGAGCCGCATGATCTGTGAAGAGAATGTTCTTGGAACCCAACAAGTAACAACGGAACTTCTCAAAAGCATGAACAATATCCAAAAATTCCTTTTCCGTTGTGGTGTAATTTCGTTGAGCACCATTTAGAGTCTTGGACATATAATAGATGAGATGGAGCTTCTTTTCCACTCTTTGACCCAAGACACCTCCAATTGCCGAATCGCTTGCATCACACATCAACTCAAAAGGTAAATCCCATCTTGGGGCTTGAACAATAGGAGTAGATATTAGAGCCTTTTTCAATTTATTAAATGCTTCCAAACACTTATCATTAAATAAAAACTCGGCATCCTTTTGAAGAAGATCATTGATGTGCTTTGCAATGAGCGAGAAATCCTTGATGAATCTTCTATAAAACCCGACATGTTCTAAGAAATATCTCACTCCTTTCACATTGGCTGGAGGTGGAAGCTTCTTAATAACCTCAATTTTTTCTTTGTCCACTTCTATCCCCTTGTGAGAAATCTTATGCTCTAGGACTATGCTTTCCTCCACCATGAAATGACACTTCTCCCAATTCAAAACCAAGTGCACCTCTCACACCTTGCTAGACATTTCTCATGGTTTTCAAGGCATGCCTAAAATGAAACAACTCCTATAGAGAAATCGTCCATAAACACCTCCATCTCTTCCTCCAACATATCTCCAATTATTCTTATCATGCATCTTTGAAATGTTGAAGGAGCATTACAAAGGTCGAATGACAATCTCATATAAGAAAATCTTCCATAGTGACAAGTGAAGGTTATTTTCTCTTTGTCATCCGGGTGGATACGGATTTGGAAAAATCCCGATTAACCATCAAGAAAACAATAGAACTTGTGCCTTGTTAGTCTCTCAATCATTTGAACAATAAAAGGAAGGGGGAAGTGATCTTTCTATGTAGATGTGTTTAGACGTCTATAGTCTTTACACATCCTCCATCATGTAACCGTCCTCGTCGGAATGAGCTGAACTCTCTAATTCTCGACGACGGTCATGCCTCCCTTCATTGGGACAACATGAATGGGAATATGAGTCCCGCATCTAAAATTTTGGCGATCTCCTTCTTCACTACTTCTCCTATTTACGGATGTAGCTTTCATTGCCTCTCAATATAACATAGAGCACCCTCCTAAAGGGTTATTTGATGTGTACATAAAGCAGGGCTTATAACTTTGAGGTCATCAATGGTATAACCCAAAGCACTTTGGTGCTTTCTCAAAACACCAAACAACTCTTAAGCTTGGCGCTCACATGATCAAGAGAATCAATCAACATGCAATTTTCTAAAGAAGAACTTGGATACTTTATACTATCATTCAAGTTAAATTCTATAACCTCATCCTCTAATTTGATTGAAATTTTAGCACTCTTCACATCTATCATATAACCCGAAGTAGCAAGGAATAGTCTCCCTAGAAATATAGAAAAAACGCTAGAATCTTCGTCCATCTCAAGCACCACAAAATCTACCAGAATAACAAATTTCCCAACCCTCAAAGGGACATCCTCCAGCTTACCCTTAGGAAACTTAATTGATCTATCGACCAATTGCAAAGTGATGTTGGTAGGAAAGAGTTCCCCTATCTCAAGCCTTTGGTATACCAAATATGGCATAAGGCTAACACTAGCACCTAGGTCACATAAACCATTGTCAATTTTCATTTTGTAAATGGCACAAGGGATGGAAAAGTTTCCGGGGTCTTTTAGCTTTGTGGCATCTTGTTCATTGTAATTGCACTACAATTCTCAGTCAAGTTCACCGTCTCTACAACATCACAAGTCCTCCTACCGCTCAAAATGTCTTTGAGGAATTTTGCATAGTTGGGCATTTGGGTGACAACTTTGGTAAATTATAGAGAAAGGTGAAGTTGCCTGAGCATGTCAACAAATCTTCCAAATTTTCCATCCAACTTGTGTCTCATGAATTTTTGTGGATAAGGAAGCTTGGGTTTCACAATTTCTTTCTCTACTCTCACCTCACTAGGTTTCTCAATCTTAACCTCACTGAAAGATGCACCATCTCTCTCATCTTCTACCAAAACCTCTTTTGTGGCCTCCTTGATCTCACTCTTCCTATGAAAACTCTCCTCAAGAACCTTACCACTTCTTGTAACAATAGCATTGACCAGTCTCTTGGGATCTAGGCCTTGGGAAGGTAAACCCGAGAAGGACTAGTTTGGTCTTTCAAAGCATTGGCAAGTTGAAAAATTTGGTTTTCAAGCATCTTTTTATGAGTAATCGTTTCATTAAATCTCTTGTCACTTACGGCTATGTAATTGTTCAACAACTTTTCTTGATTTCATTTCTTCCAAATTAGTCATAGAAGAGGAAGTAAAAGAAGAGGATTAAACACAGGAATTATCATTTTGGGTCTTTGGAGCAAATCCGGGTGGAGGACCCCTTTGAAAGTTATTTTGAAAATTTCCCCTATTTTGATTGTTCCAATTACCTCTACCTTGATTATGGTTACCATAACCTTGGTTAATTACCATAATTTTGGTTTTGATTTTGGTTAATATAACCTTGGTTGTTATAGTTACCTCAAGAATTTTTGTTCCCATGGTTCCTATAACCACCACCTTAGTTGTAGTTGTCAAAATAGCCATGGTTATTGTAATTCCTATTCCATTTACTTCTTTTATTCTCAAACGTAGAATCATTATTGTTTGACACATAATTCACATGCTCATTCACATTTCCATCTTGATCATCACAAACATCCATACATGCACGAGGGCAATTAGAAGCATCTTGATCATAAGATTTACAAACATCACAAAACAAGCGTCCACTAGGCATGTTACTAGAAAAGGGAGAGGGTTGAGGATTAGAAGACATACCTCTCCCCTGAGATTAGGAGGGAAGACTTGAAACTTGGGAGGTAGCACTTTCCAACTTTGCCTTGATAGAGGACATTTCCTTCCCCAAGTTTGTAATTTGTAAGGAGAGATTGTTCATTGCATTTAGATGATCAACTGAGTACACCAAAGAGCTACTCTTGCTAGTTGACTCCTTTACTCCATCTTACCAATCTCTATAATATCTCACTATGTCTTCAATTATGTCTACCACTTCCTCTTCCATTTTATTCATGATGGAAACTCCGGATCCTCCATCTAGACATGAAATCCCTTGAGGACTAAGGCCTTCATAGAATATTTAAATAATTTGGTAAGTAGGAACTCCGTGGTGAGGACATTCTCTTTGATACTCTGTGTATCTCTCCCATGCTTCATAGACACTATCAGTAAGCTTTTGTTTGAAACCTTGTGTTTTGGGTGCTTTTGTCCCTCGGGAGAGTTATTGCTCGAAGGCTGGTTGCACGCGGCCTGTACCTATAAAACAACGGAGACTCCGGGTATTTGGAGCTCCGCCTCCAACGATTAAGTTAATACATGAATATGAGTAGGAGAGGGTGCGGAAATTGAAATGAGATCATCTTAGATTCCAAGATCAGGTGTTCTTTGATGTGAGAGAATGTAGGGTAGGTGTAATAAATGATTAAATGTGACCCAAAATTGGGGGATATCTCCCTATTTATAGGGTCATTGGGAAACGTGCCCTCTCTTAGGCCATTTGACCTAGATTTGGTGGGCTGCACTGTTTTGTGGAATTCTTGGGAATTGGGCAATGAAGGCCGTAATTTAGGAAGACATCTGAGGCTAACACGTGTCAGTTGGCAATTAGCCCAAATTGATCTTGAAAGGAATGGTGTTCTTCGAACAAGTGTACTATTCCGTTAGTGGGTTCATAATTATTAGAAAACTAATATATTCACTAAGGTTAAGTGATCGGAATGCCTAGGTGGAGGCCGCTTCCGATCATTATTATTAATGCATAATTAATATTACAGCTTAATCTTGACTGAACCCTTCGGGTCACACCCTTAGCAGTAAACGAACCGACTCAACTAATTTATTCAGAAGAAATTAATTCGTCACCCGAGTATTAAATATTCAGACGTCGGAAATTCGAGCATGGAGCGTTGAAACTGAGCGTCGAAGAATCTCAAATGTCGGGCCAAAATTTAGGATTTGGCGAGACGGGAAAATGCTTCAAGTAACAAGTAAAATCCTAGCCACGCAAAAGGCTAGGAAAGCGCGCCCAATAGGTGTGTGCCACGTGGAAGCACACATGGCAAAACACCATGTGGCAGCCACGTTGGCAGCCGCCACATGGCAGTGTTCCACGTAGGCAGTATGCCACGCAGGCAGCGTGCCATGTGACAGCACGCCATGGTGGCAGCGCGCCACTGTGGCGACACATGTGGCAAGGGTCGTGGACCCGGGGCGATGGGTCATGGACACGGGCCAAAATAAAATGGCCCAACCGAACCCAACTTGGGGCTCAAGGTTGGGTGACACATGGTTAGTTCACATTGCATGTGAAATGCCTTGGGGATCAACTGGGAAAGTGGTCCTCACCTAACCATGTGTCACTTGTTACTTGTTCCTTGGTTTATTTAACTAAGGGTTGAATTCATCAATCTTTCCATGTGGGATCTTTTTGTGAAAAGTCCCACATTGAAAGATGAGTGGAATTCACAAGCTATCCTTCTTATAAATAGCCAAAGCATGGCATGAGAATTCCTTGCTTGAGTAGGAGTTCAATAAAGAATTGCATTAGCAAAAACTCTTAAACTCATATAATACTCGGGTTTTGGTCGGACCTCGCTAACCTCGAGGTAACGGACCTAAAAGTCGCTAGTAGTTTTTGCGGGTGGATTTCTGTATGAGGCTCTGGTATTTTTGGAGCTTAAGCTTTCAAGTAAGAGCCCAACTTTGAGGGCGAAGCACGCTTCAAAGGTAAATTCCGATTTTATCTTTTATGTTTATTTGTTATGCTTTATGGTTTTATTAATTGCGAGTGGTTCCTTGGGTCGGGGTTGTTTCCGCGGTGAGTCAGACTCACCAAACCCCAACAGCGGTATCATAGCTACGCTCGTTTCTTTTTAAAATCATTATTTTTTCAGGGTGTTTTTATGGCTTAATTTTTCTGGTTTTGAGTTGATAATTAGATTAGTAGCTCGTTTTATTTATTTTAACCTCATATTAAAGCTATCATCAGCCCCAAACCCAAATTTCGACCCAAAAATAGTGATTTTTGGGTGGAAAAGGCATTCTGGAAATGGTTTTACCCTTTCAGGACTCGATTTTTAGCCAAAAACGACAAGCTTTCTCGAGGGATTTTTCGTTTTGACGAAAAATTTTATGTCTTTCTAACCTTGAAAATTAATTGCATATTTATGGTGTTTATGTAATTGGTTCAATATATATTTTATATGCAATTTTAAACCTCTTTAGGCATAATTACTTGGTGGTAATTTGTGCTTGAAAGCTTAGTTTTATTTTTCACATAATTGCAAACTAATTGCGTTAAGTGTAAAATTGTTGTTCTTTGAGGCTTCCAAGTACTAAAGATTCAATATTTAATTATGTTAAGTGATTAAAACTTTAAGTTACTAAATTCCATAAATTTTTGTTAAACTTTGTTGATTAAATCATTTTTAGTTGATTGGAATCATAAAGTTTGACACTTTGTGATAGAAAATTGTTTTTTTTTTCGGTAAGTAAGCAATTATATTACTATCAAAAAGTTGTACAAAATATACAAATATACAAGCCTGTCAAAACAGGCTACTCCAAAACTACACCAGACCAGCAGGCCACACACACTCCTAGGATCTAGCTCCCAAGATGCCACCTTCTAGGAAGGATTCACCAAAGAAACCAGAACACCTATCCAACCTTGAATCCTTATAATCTTCTAGGAAGAACAAGGGAGCCAAGGAAGGAGCAGCAGCAACCCAAACAAAAGAAAAATCTAAGCATAAACAACCTAGAAAAAAACTAGTTACATCTGAGGCTATACATCCATTTACAATCATTCCTAGACCATTTACCACTAATCACTTGCTGGCATCTTCCCAAGACTTCAATTTTCATTACCTGAAAAATCTTGTATGGGTGAATAATAGCTTTCTGCCAGAAAGCATGATTTCTGGCAAATCAAATCTGGTAAATCACAGCAACTAGTACAGCTAGCAACACATTTTGCCTATTCTTGATCTTGCACCCATCTTTCCAAATCTTCCAAGAATTTTCAATGCTATACTGCATAACTGGAATATTGATCCAGTTACAAATCTTACTCAAGCATTTGTAACTGTAATTGCATTCAAAAAACAAATGTTTGAAAGTTTCAGTCTGCAAACCACAGAGCAAACAACTATCATTCTCACAGGCACCAAACTGAACAATTTTATACCTAGTCCTCAATCTTCCCATCATTGCTAGCCAAACAACAAAATAGTGCTTAGGAATATTATACCTGCCCCACACCCATTTATACCAAGCCACTTTTTCCATATGACCTTATATCAACTTATAACAATCAGTAATTCTATACTTCTTATTTAACCATTTATTAGTCATAAACCCATCTTTCAACTCATCCATCACCTTGCAAATCAATTTCCAGCCCCACCCTGCATCTTTCTTAGGGACATGATCCCACCAATCTTGATCCTTTATATAACTGCATGCACCCATTTAACCCATAAAGAGTAAGTCTTCTTTGCAATCTTCCATACATAGCTCCCCAAGGCAACTCTATTCCAGGCCATACAGTCCCTAATCCCAAGACCTCCAGCAGACTTAGGTCTGCAAATCCAATCCCATGCCAAAGGGGGGGCTCTATTGAGAATAGCTTTCCCATCCCACAAGAAAGCTCTACACAGCTGAACCATCCTAAGCATAACTGTCTTAGGAATCAGAATACACTAAGCCCAATAGGTATGCAAGCTCATCAGAACTGCATTGACTAAAACAGCTTTAGAACTATAGGACAGATTTCTAGTGCTCCAGCAATGCAGTTTATTCATCATCTTATCAATCAAAGCATCATAATCCTTAACTTTCAGATATTTATCATTCAAAGGAATACCTAAGTACTTGAAAGGCATCTCACTTGTCACAAACCCAGACAACAACAGAATATCATCCTTAACCTGAGTGGGAACATTCCCAAAATAAATGGCTAACTTATTATTGTTAACCTGCAGCCCAGATCTATTTTCAAAGGTCTTGAGAGCCCTAATTAAAAAATAAACAGATCTCTTATTCCCAAAACTGAACAACATTAAATCATCTGCAAAAATCAAATGATTCAAAGCCAGTTTCTCACATCTTTGATGAAACTTAAATCCCTACTTCTTGCCTATTTTCCTTAACATTCTTGTCAAGTATTCCATAATTAGCACAAAAAGTAAGAGAGACTTTGGATCACCTTGTCTTATCCCCTTTTTTCAAGAAAAAAAAACCATACAAACCACCATTGATCATAGGAGAGAACGAGGGAGTTCTAACACATTGCATAATCCACTTCACAAATTTTCCAGGAAAACCCAAAGCCATAAGCACCCCTTCAATAAATTCCTAACAAACCGAGTCATAAGCTTTCCTTAGATCCACTTTAATAGTGCATCTAGGAGGCTTCCTTTTATTACTATAACCCTTCAGCATATCATGACACACAAGAATGTTTTCAAGTATAGATCTCCCTGCAACAAAAGGCCCTTGACAAGAATCAATTAGTTGTGGGAGCACTTCCTTCAATCTCTCAAATATCATCTTAGAAATGATTTTATACAACACATTACAACAAGCAATGAGCCTAAATTGACTAACAATATTTGCATTCTCCAGCTGAGAGATCAGTGTGAGGGCAGTAGCATTAATCTGTTTAAAGAGCTTCCCTTCCACAAAGAAATCCAAAACAGCTTTAGAAACATCTATCGG